ACAAACAAACATAATCATCTTTACTCGAAACAAAACAAGAAAAAGAACTAGAAAGATGAAAAACAATAATAGATAAACTTTTGTTGGTATTCTTATTAACTAATTTCAAAATCGACATATTTTTACAAGAAATCGGAAGTCACACTTTTACATTCTTAAACAAAACATATAAATCAACTCAGAAGTTGTATAAAATTGACATAAAACTGTTAGCGGACGTATTATATGTATATCCATGTATTATTATTAGTCCATAGTAGCCCATTGTATGTTATGTGCATATTGGTATTCGGCCCATGTGGTTTGTATTTATTGTGCATTCTAATGATAATGGAATTGAAGCGGAAAATACTTTCTATCATGGTATCAGGCTACACTTCTCAACCCTAATTTCAGCCGATCCTTTCTTCTTCTTCCTGTCTCGCTTTCTTCTCCTACTCTTCTTACCGGTCACGTTCTCTTCTTCAATCAAGATGACCGGTGGTGAATCTAGCAACAACTCCAAACCTCCCCACAAAGCATACGGAATAACCAACATCAAAACGTATGTTCCTCCTATTTTGGATCTCACCACTCAAAACTATGAACCTTGGAGTGCTCTCTTCAAGGCTCATTGCATTGCCTATGGTGTTCTTGATCACATAGAGGACGCCTACGACGCACCAAATCAGCCTTTTACGGACCCAGAATGGGAGCAACTCGACTCCATGGTGCTACTATGGCTGTTTGGATCGATCTCCCAAAACCTCATCACCGCCGCCTACTTCAAACCTCCAACGGCTCGTTAGATTTGGCTCAATATCCACTCTCTTTTTTATGACAATAAAGAAGCTACTGCCATGCAACTAGAGACCGAACTCCGAAACATCTCCATGGGGGATCTTTCTCTCCATGATTATTGTGACAAAGTCGTGAAAATTGCAGATCTCCTCGACGGACTCATGCCTCGCAGCCCACAGGCTTTTGTTCACTCCTCCGGTACAGATCAACATCAGTGGGCCTGGCCCGGTGGCGATCAGCCCACTTCACTACCAAATTTATTTAGTTCTATGTCTCTAAATGATCCAGGAAATGGCGGTTGGATTATGGACACCGGAGCTACAGATCATGTCAACGCCAATGCAGGTATACTTAAATCCGTGTCTAATAGTCATTATCCTCAATCTATTTATGTTGGTAACGGTTCTGCAATACCTGTCACGACCTCGGGACATTCCATTTTTCCTATTCCCAATATCTATCGTCCTCTTCATTTAAAAAACGTTCTTATCACACCAAATATTATTAAAAATCTTATTTCTGTACGTAAATTTACTACTCATAATAATTGCTCTATTGACTTTGATCCTTATGGTTTTACCATTCTTGATTATCAGACACGTCGTCCTCTCATCCGTTGTGATAACTCAGGGCCCCTATATCCGGTCACAAGCTCCACAAGTCATGCTTTTATCTCTATTTCCTACACCACTTGGCATCAACGGCTCGGTCACCCCGGAGTTCAAGTCTTGAAGCATTTATCTTCTAGTAGTTCAATATCTTGTTTACCTAAAAATAATCTTACATGCCATGCTTGTCAACTTGGAAAACACACTAGACTTCCATTTTAATTGTCTGATTCTAATGTTTCTGCTCCTTTTGAAATAATCCACTCTGATTTGTGGACTTCTCTCATAGCTAGCAATGGTGGTCTAAAATATTATGTTTTGTTTCTTGATCATTATACTCATTATCTTTTGGGTATACCCCCTCCAACATAAATCTGAAGTATTTCAAAAATTCTTACACCTCTCCAACTTAATAAACACTCAATTTGGGGTTAAAATCAAACAATTACAATGCGATAATGAGGGGGAGTATAACAATAAACTTTTTCATGACCATTTTGCCACTCACGGCATCACCTTTCGCTTCTCATGCCCACACACATCCCAACAAAATGGAAGATCAGAACGCATGATACGCACCACTAACAATATGGTGCGAACTCTTTTCTTCCATTCTCACCTTCCTCCAACCTTTTGGCCCGAAGCCCTTCACATGGCAGCCCATCTTCTTAACATATTACCCTCTATCTCTATTTCTAATGAAACTCCCTACCTATCGCCTCTTTCAACGACATCCAACATACAATCATCTTCGTGTCTTCGGTTGCCTTTGCTTCCCTCACCTTCATACCACTCATAAACTCCAACCCCGCTCTACTCCGTGTATTTTCCTTGGCTACCCCACATATCATTGTGGTTTCCGCTGCTTTGATCTATCCACCCGCAAGATCATCATCTCCCGCCATGTAACTTTCGACGAGTCTGTTTTTCCATATGGCTCAGTAACTCCCACTGACCCTCCTTCTTATGATTTCCTTTCAGACTCTGATATGTCTCCCAATCTTCGTCAAATTCTCTACCCCACTTCCACTAACCTTGGTCACCCTCTCTCTCCTAAGACTGAGCCCGTACAATCCATACCCACCCCTTCCCCACCTCCTACCTCTCCTCCAACTCCTCCCACTTCTCCTCCTCACGAGGAAACTCCCCCTCCTCCGGTACACAACATGCACACTAGATCTAAAAGTGGCATTGTGAAACCTATTCAACGCCTTAATCTTCATTCCACTTCCATTTCCTCTGTCCCGAGGTCACACATTCAGGTTTTGAAAGATCCAAACTGGCATAAAGCCATAAATGAGGAATATAATGCACTCATTACAAACGGTACTTGGGTTCTTGTGCCACGACCACCTGGTGCAAATGTGGTTCGTTCCATGTGGTTATTTAAACATAAATTTAATGCTGATGGGTCTCTCTCTCGCTATAAAGCTCGGTTAGTTGCTAATGGTCGTAGTCAACAGCAGGGGATTGATTGTGATGAGACTTTTAGTCCGGTTGTGAAACCGGCCACCATACGCACCGTTCTTAGCCTGACTATCTCCATACGTACCTATTCATCAGCTTGACGTGAAGAATGCCTTTCTTCACGGTCACCTTCTCGAGACTGTTTACATGCATCAGCCTCCGGGTTTCCGGGATCCGCAAAACCCGGACTATGTCTGCCACTTACAGCGATCGCTCTATGGGCTCAAACAGGCCCCCCGAGCCTGGTATCAGCGGTTTGCCCAACATGCCCTCCATATGGGGTTTCAACATAGTCTCACCGATTCCTCTCTATTTATTTATCATCATGGCGTCGACACTGCCTATCTTCTTTTATATGTTGATGACATCATCCTGACTGCCTCCTCCATGGTACTTCTACAGTCTGTCATCACTCAGCTCAGCAAAGAGTTCGCCATGACTGATCTCGGTGCTCTCAACTACTTTCTTGGGATATCTGCCACTCGTTCATCTAAGGGTCTTTTTCTTTCTCAGAGGAAATATGCCACTGAGATCCTAGAGCGTGCCCATATGCTCCAGTGTAACCCAACTCGAACCCCAACCGAGATTTCACACAAGTTGGATGCCACTGGACCTCCTGTCTCTGACCCGTCCTTTTGTAGAAGTCTTGCAGGAGCACTACAGTACCTTACTTTCACTCGTCCGGATATTGCTTATGCTGTTCAACATATTTGCCTTTTCATGCATGAACCCAGAGAGTCTCACTTTCATGCGCTTAAGCGCATCTTGCGTTACATCAGAGGTACTCTTAACTACGGTTTACAACTTTATGTATCCCCATCATCTGATCTTCGTGCATACTCCGATGCTGACTGGGGCGGATGCCCAACCTCACGCCGCTCGACATCCGGATATTGTGTGTTCATGGGTGATAATCTCATCTCGTGGTCTTCTAAACGACAGAGCGTTATTTCTCGTTCCAGTGTCGAGGCAGAATATCGTGGCGTTGCTAATGCCGTTGCAGAGACATGTTGGGTTCGCAACTTACTTCGTGAGCTTCGATGTCCGCCTGACAAAGCTACTATTGTTTATTGTGACAACATCAGCTCAGTTTATATGACAGCGAACCCAGTGCAACACCAACGCACGAAACACATTGAGATAGATATTCATTTTGTGCGTGATCTCGTTGCTCGAGGCCTTGTTCGCGTCTACCACGTTCCGTCCTCTGCTCAGTATGCCGATATCTTCACCAAAGGTCTTCCGACTCAGCTCTTCAATGACTTCAAGATCAGTTTGAACGTACGGAATTCTCCTCCTGATCAAACTGCGGGGGGATGTTAGTGGACGTATTATATGTATATCCATGTATTATTATTAGTCCATAGTAGCCCATTGTATGTTATGTGCATATTGGTATTCGGCCCATGTGGTTTGTATTTATTGTGCATTCTAATGATAATGGAATTGAAGCGGAAAATACTTTCTATCAAAAACTTCATCATCATCATCATCATCTACTCCATTTTCATACTAAACGTTTGTTTGGTTCGTAGAATGGTATTGAAGGAATTGGAACTTGAGAGATTTGGATATAAAGGAACTGAATTCTGTCATGTGACATGTGTTTGTGTTTGGTTGGGAGGAAATGAATGGAATGGAAGAGGCAAAGGATGTTTACTTGTGAAGCTCTAGGGTTGGAATTTGGAAAAAGGTATTTGGGTAATTTTTTCAACTTGCAAATTCCAAGAATATTCAATTTTGTACTCATTTGCAACCAAATACATGATAGGAATAGGAATAGAATTGAATTCCAATTCCGACCAAATTGCATTGCATGGTATCCAACGAACGAAATGCACCCACAGAGAACACAGAAATAGAAAGCAAGTATAAAGGAATGGGGAAATATAAAGCAAAGTAGCTTTATTCTTGATTTGCTATTTATTCTTTTTCAGCCACTAGGTATTGGACACGATAACTTCCTGATTTGGAAAGAAAAGGTTTGATTAAAACAACTTTGAATATAAAAGTGAATCTCTTTTAGCTCTTAAACCAGATTATTTTTATGCCACCCAATCCATCCATTTTTATGCATCTGTCCCTCGGCCTCCCACAGCTTTTGTGTCTATAAAAAGGCACTCTCTCTCGCTCTTTATTTTATATATTTACTAAATAAATAACATCTAATTTATTTCCCTCACTCTGTGTGTGTGTGTCGTCAACATTCAATAGCATGTCACTTGTACTAGGGAGGATTATAGGAGATGTCGTCGACCAATTCACACCAAGTGTGACAATGGGTGTAACCTACAATTCCCATAACACTGTCTTTAGTGGCTACGAGCTAAAGCCTAATCTCATTACTTCTAAACCTCATGTTGAAATCGGTGGTGTAGACATGAGATCTTCTTACACTATTGTAATAATTCTCTCTCTTTATAAACACATAAATATGGTTTATTTATATATTTTGTAATTGACAAATATATATGTGTATGTATCTATTTTTACTTGAAGATCTTGACCGATCCAGATGCTCCAAGTCCGAGTGATCCTTACTTAAGAGAACATCTCCATTGGTGAGCATCAGTGAACTCTTTGATTATTAGTTTTCTTTTTTAAAGTCAATTATCGTTTGTTTATTTATTATTTAATGAATTGGAATTAAATAAACTCGATATTTCAGGATGGTGACAGACATTCCTGGTACAACAGATGCAACCTTTGGTAAGTAAAATTTCATGATGCATGGATATAAATAATAAATATAATATGTTGAATGAGTGAGTAAAATATATGAGTGTGGATGTGATGTAACAGGGAGGGAGATTGTGAGCTATGAAATTCCAAAGCCTGTGATAGGAATCCACAGGTATGTGTTCTTATTGTTCAAGCAAAAAGCAAGGCAATCAGTGAGGACACCTGTTTCCAGAGATCAATTTAACACTCGGGTATTCTCTCAAGAAAACGAGCTAGGGTTACCAGTTGCTGCTGTCTACTTCAATGCTCAAAGAGAAAATGCTCCACGTAGAAGATAACTCTACTTCATACACGCATATACTAGTATCTGTCTGCATGTACTCAAAACAAAACAATAAAACCTTTACTCTATACTTTCATATTGCATTATACTTATTTTAACTTGTTTATGAAATGTATTTTAGTTTCATATTTTAAGTGTATTTGTGTCATACATGTTTAATAAGGAACTTGGATGTGTTGTTCTGGCTTTATATTTTGATTAATTACCTCTTAAGACTAATTTCCAAACCTGGAAATCACTGTAAACGGCTACAATCTCAAACAATTAAGCACATACAGTATCAATTGCAAACTCAATCTGACTTTCTTAATACATCATGTTGGAGATCGCATCCAGTTTGGATCCAAGAAAACACATCTACTGAATATTTAAAGTATGCTTGACTAATATCTCTAAATCGGTGGCTAAAATTTAGGAATATTTAGGAATGGAACTGATAACAGAATTCTCAATCACTATCCCCAAAACTGAAATTGAAATTGTGAAGATCATATTAAAAAAAATTCCTACATACATACTTCTCAAAATTCAAACAGGCATAAACAAATGGAGACGAAGTTCGGTTACTAATTACTTACCAGGTGGAAGTAATTCTTTCAGCCGACGACAGCTCCGTCATCAAGAGCCACGATGTACAAATTAACGAAGAGACAATCTGCTAAAACAAGAAAAAAGTCGATCAAGACAAACAATGAGGGGATAATTGAAAACCTAAAGAGATTGCGAGAGTTGGAGAAAGCAATTGTAAAGTAACAACATCAAAGCTTCAGCGAAATCGCTTCCGGCCACCGAATCTCTCTGCCGCGATAAGCACTGAAACGGTTTCCCCCTTTTGGCTTTCCCGGAACTTTTTGCAACGGCTATAGATGTTTTATAAAGGGATATTAACCGCCTGTTTCATATTGTTTATTTGAAGGTTTTATTGTTCTTTATTAGATAGATTTTATAAGTATTTATTTATTTAAATAATAATTTTTTCATAAATTATTTGTTATTGTTTATTGATTTATTTAAAAGGTTTTTTTAAATTATTAGTACTTATGGAATTAAATAATAACAAAATTGAACTAAATCTAAACCTACATAGTTAGGTAAATCGTTTGGGAACCAAATTTGAACTCAAAGTTGCAATGATATTGTGGACAATGGACGGATGAGTGTGAAGTTGTGTAAGTTTCTTGAATTAGGATGTTACGGAGGATATAACATTTTTGGATGATATAATTGTGGATCGAGAGCATTATAAGGTGGACCTTTGTCTTCCCTATCTTAGTCTTCACCATAAATGTAACGTTCCAAAATACTAAGGTAAAATTTTGTTTTTAATTAACCAAAAACCAAACATCCATTCATGAGGATCAAACGATAATCAGAGTGTATAAAGCATTCTAAAAACAACAGTGATAAATCAGAAAAGACAGTGTGAAATAAATTGTTAGGGTGTGCAATGCGATCATCTCGAACTCTACCCTTTGGAACTGGAGTTTCCTAAAATACCCCATATCCATACGGGCCTCGCCCCACATACAAACGGGTCTCACCTTATGGGCCTCGCCCAGCATACAAACGGGCCTCTCCCAACACATATAACTGGCCCCACTCACATACGAAGGGTCTCACCCAACGGGCCTCCCCCAACATACAAACGAGCCTCGCCTAACATACATGCAATGAAAGATTTTGTATGCTCAAGAGTTATAGTAAAATGATATTGTAACAGCCCAAAACCCGGATAAAATTTTTCATTTTTAAATAGGAAATTACAGTCATAAATTGTTTCCAAAATCCATTACATAATAAACATGTCCAATTATCAGAGTAACAATATCAGTAAGTGCGGAAGATAGTGGAGAGTGAATGTTACGCCATCAAGTGGGGCCCTTCCCCTTAGTACCGGAAGTACCTGAAACCACAATACAAACTGTAAGCAAATGCTTAGCGAGTTCCCCAAATACCACATAATATACAATCGCAAAATACCACACCACATACATATGATTGCCATGGGCTACCCCCATGTTCTTTCCTTAGAATGCCATGGGCTACCCCCATGGTCTTATATCCAAGTGCAATGTGCTACCCCCATGGTCTTCCATGCCATGGGTTACCCCCATGGTCTTCCATACAAGTGCTACGGGCTACCCCCGAGGTCTTTCACACAAACAAACACATAGACAACTAACATTCCACACGTCAAGTAATGGGCGTGCATTAGTGCCTTCGACCCATTGATATAGTGAGAAGGCTCACCTCCCAATCCAAATAATAGTTGATGAGGTACCGACTTCGAAACTCAGTTCTAACCGACTCCTAACCATCAAACACAAATTCTCAAGTATAATCCAGAATACCCAAAATACCCCTTTATGGGTCAAACTAAGTCATACGATCAAAAGGTCAAGGAAAGTCAATTCAGCTGACCGACACGTCGTGGTACCCTTGTACCACGTCGTGGTGACGAATACGACAAAACAGTCGCGATCCGCCCCGCCATCACGTCGTGGTGGCCTTGCCACGTCGTGGTAACGAGATTTTCAGCAGCTTAATGCATTCAACCACTTTCTAGATGGATAAAGTTTCCAATTTTATCCAATAGAACCCTCTAAAGTGTTTAGATCTCAACTTTAAGATCCAAAACACTTCATGGGTTAAGCAATAATCCTCCAATCCAAGAGGTTTCTTAACCAAAAGCTTCGAAAGAGTCTCTAACATCAAACACACCATAAAAATTAGTGATTTTCAGTCATGCATGTCCAATGCATGAGTTAAACTCTTATTAGGTCAAAATAGGGCAAAAAGACCAAGATTCCATGCGTGGTCTCAAAACTCGATTCTAAGCTAGATCCCAAGAGCCAAATGCTCGAAATGGCCTGTAGATTCATAAAGTTGTAAACTTTATGAAGTTCAACCATCTAAGGCAACAAAACATAGAGAAAAGTGGGCAAAATCCATAGATCTATCCATTAACTCAACAAAGTGAAGACTTTATACCTCCTTGAGATGCTAGAGGATGGCAAACTCCTGGATCTTCTTTGCTTTGAACTCCCCAAGTGATCTTCCACCACCTTCTTCCTTCACAAGGGATCTTTAAGGCTAAAAACTCACACAATGGATCTAGGGTTAGCAAGGGACGATTTGGAGAGATGGAGGCTAATGGGAGGGAGGCTATGAGGGGTTAAGGATCTTTAAATAGGGCCCAACTCTTAACTTTAGGGTTTTCACCAACAGCCACCACCTCGTCGTGGTGGTTCATTAAACCCCTGCGACCCAAAACTCTTCGCCACGTCGTGGTGGAGATTCACCACGTCGTGACCCTCAAAGATACATCATACGCCATCAAAATAATTTCATACATGGAACCGAGTTTTACAGATACTGCTAATTAACATATGATACTAATGGGCCACACTGATTTTTTATTAGAAATTGATTTTAATAAATATTCCATAAACTCTTATAATTAATTGAAAATTATTTATTTATTAGAAATAATAATTTTTCATTAGCAAGTAACATAATGTATCATATGGTATGATTTATTAAGTTATGTACATTATGTTGGACTAGAGAGACTTTTGTCTTTTAACCAAAAGCCAAAGTTTATATTTTGTAAAAGAAGTTTACAAAATTTATAAACTTTTTTCTTCTTTTATATCTTTATAAGAAAGAATAAAAGAAGCATGACTTTTTGATTTGTTTAATCAAAATCATGGCTAGTTCTTAAAGGCATGGGGGACAAGTTCCTTTTATGACACGAGTGCTTAATTGGTTAAGGAATCATTTGTATTGTTTTAGCTTTAAGAGATTGCATGAAAGGATTTCATTTTCGACCTTTTTTATATGCCAAAACCGTGAGTATGCTTGGCATATTCATTCTCTCTTGATTGTGCTTTTACACTTGAAATAACACTTGTATTTTTCTCTCTTTAAGTTCATACTTTGGTTATGAACTTAAACCTTAAGAGTCTTAAGAGTTTTACAAGTGTAATATCCGGGATTTACCAGGTATTAGTGTTAATTATCTTATTGAATAATGGGTTGTTTTGGTTTGGGCCAGGATAGTTGGGCTCCAAGAATTAGGCTGAGAAGGGCATTACGCGGGGCGTACCATGCCAGGTACGCTCAGCGTACTCAAGAGAATTGGGCGGGGAGGCCATGCACGTACGCCCAATGTATGCTCGCAGATTCTAAAACCCTAACTTTTAGTGTTTGATCCATATATAAAGGACCTTATACCTTTGGTCCAGCCTCCCTCTCACCTCTAGGCAGCCACCACGAAAACCCTAACCCATATTTGTGTGTTCTTGTGATTTGGAAGCCATTTGAGAGTATCTTGGTGTAGTTTTGGTGTTTTGGAAGAGAAAGGAGCTTGACGAAGGAGCAAGGTTTCAAAAGGAGCTTTTAGATCCAGGAGATTAGCACCATTTCTGACTCATTTGAGGTATCAAGCTTCAAACTTGATCATTGCATGTTTAGATTTGATGTTGGGGTGTTTTATGCCACTTTTGGACTCCGTTGTTGAGGCTTCTTGCATCTTGATGATTTCAGACCATAAGAGCTGTCCTTTTGGGATCTTAGAGGCACTAAGAGTCATAAAAATCGGACCTTGATGGTTAAGCCACAACCATGAAAGTGTTTGATGGTCATAAAGCTTGTTAAAGGACCAAAATCATGTTTTGACCCCCAACCATGCATGCAAGCACATAAAGTTTGTGACTTTATGGATTAGGAGGTCTTAAAGGACATGGATCTAAATTTTGGACATGAAGACTTAATGGATTAAGTCACAAATGAAGTCCCAAGAAAGTTGGCGAGTACGCTAAGCGTACATCCTGGTACGCTGCGCCTATTGGGTCAACTTCCCATTTTCGGTCAAGGCCAGCGTACGCTGGGCGTACGTGCCAGGTACGTCGCGCGTCCGCATGCAGAGTGGCTACATTGGGCTTTTTGGGCCTTAGGGGACTGGGCCTGGACTATTGGGCCCCGTGGCCCACTGTGAAGTATAGTTCTGGGCCTGGGAGTTTGGAATTTGAGTATTGGGCCTATTGGGCCATGTCGGGCCTTTTGAAATTATATTT